CTGTCACCAATCACCTCCTTATTTTCCATCTAGCAAGACAGTTCAAAATCAGTTTTTACATTTAAAGCTTCTTTTACAAAGTAAAATTACCTGAATCCATGGATCAGCCAAATCTTTATAGGCAGAAGGAATCTGCTGGACGCCATAATGAGTAGGGTTAAAATTGCTGTCTTGCGTTCTTCTCTGTGATCCAGCTGTAGATTGCTGCTGTGTTTGCTGCTGGACCACACGGATAACAGAAGAATCCACAGGGCTTGGCAATTCATGACTACAGATTAACAACAGATAATGTGGATTAGCAAATGAAACATTTACTGAAGTAAATGCTTCAGCATATTTAGGAACATCAACTAAGGATCCAGAAATGGATAGTTTGTTATACGCAGATTGAATCCTTACCTATAGAAATCATGAGATCTCCATTTAGATCTACAAAGAGGACATATAAGTGGCTCTCTGTTTCTTCTGCATTCTTCTGCCCCTGAAATACAGCAACAGAATAATAAATACTTCAGTTTTACAGTGTATAAAACCAGAAGCTAGCAGTACTATTTCCAAGTTTTACTGAAGAATGTTAGTTTCAGGATAAATGCTTCTCAATCAAGCCATTTGCAGCAGCCTGATAAATATGGGCATGTAAACATTTTTGCATGCAGAAATGCTTCAGTTTAGCACTACAATTAATATTAAAAGTTATGAACAAAAATGCAGTTCTTTTTGTACCTGAAACATAGGAAATATGGTTTCAAAAGTATCAAAATATCGGAGATGGACTTTTATTTGTTAAAGCAAACTGTAACTATTTATGTACTTTATTTAATGTAGTATGGAAGTATACTCTGTAATTCACTATATAATCCTAGCTGATAGTAGATGACTTTCATGTATTCTAATGACAAGTCACAGGGGGCTAAAAGTCTGTTCCTAACCTTGCTCTAATTGGGCATAATCTTTTCACACAGGTAAAAAGTTCAAACCTCTACCCTTTAAGTTTTTTCAAAGCATCAAACCACAAATTTGATCTGTGAATAGCTGATAAAATAGGGAGTATCGATAGTACCCGAATGATACCAAACTCTCACAAGAGCTACTGGTCATCACTTAAGAGCAGGTTTCTCGTTTTTACTTTTAAAACAAACAAAAAACCCAATGAAAACACACTAAGTTATAATACTTTTGCATACTTAGAGTCACCAGAAATTAGCAAGACAAAGATGACAACATACATATTGACATGCAGTGGTGGTGTAATTTGTTTCTGCAGCCATCTTCACACACAGTCAGGCTCTCTTCATCCAGCATGCCTAACAAACAAATGGGGCACATCTGTTCTTCTTCATCCTTCATACTATAAAAATAATTTGTGATTGTCAAAGTGGCATATCAGAATTCAGAACAGGCTTTAACAGCAAAAAATTATTAACTTCCAGTTTGAAACAGTCACTTCTGACTACTGATAGTCTATTCATGAATCATTCTCCTTAACCTTGGTCTGAATATTAAGCAACCAAATTTTTAGAAGCACTGAGTACAGACAACACGTTGTTGACATGAAAGGGAAAGTCACAAAACACGTGACATCTTTTCAAAACTGGGTCGGATACCAATTAGAGATTGAAAGGCCCAGCCTTGGGCACTTACTTTTTTTTCCCCTAAGGCTTCTTTAAAAACCAAACCTTTGGTTTTTTTACTTATAATTTGGGTTTGAAAAATTAAGATTTTTTTATATTTTGAAAGCTACCCACGTATTTTTTTCCATCACACTCCTTTCAGAGTACTGAGTTACAAGGTAGTCTTTAGCCGATTACAGATAACTGTAAATACTATTTGCTGAACATATGTAAAACAAAAAAAACCTAACAGAAAATAACAGCTACTCAAGAATTTTCTGCCACTAACACAAACACTAACATACCTACATATCACATGTGGATTTAAAAAAACAAAACAAAACTAAACAACAACCACATTTTCCCTGTTTTACATGTTGCTTTCATTTTATTTACCCCACCTTATTTTTAAATGGATATAACCAGAGATTTTGCCAGAAAAAATTATTCTAGACTTAAACAACATGTAGTGAAAAACATAATTTTGATCTCCTGTAATATTGTTTAAGTGTGCAAAACTCTTACTATTCATAGCAAAAATTTAAGTTTCAGTTGCTGTGTGTCTAAAAGTTTGCAGGAACCCTGTATTTGTTCATGAACAATATATTTTTTTTAAATAAGTGTATATACATTGTTTCAATACATATATATTAACTTCTATTTCCTTGCAAATGGTTGACATTTTTTTCCTTGAAAAAATCCACAAAAATAAGCTTACAGTGAAAAGTATTAATTTAACTTTTTGAAGAATTAGTAGTAAAGCAAAAATAATTGCAAGTCAAAGTTTACTCAGTTCTCATTGAGCCAGTAATGCTAGGAACTAATCATCAGGTGTACTGGCAAATAACTGAAAAATCTTTCATCCTGTCAAAAATGAGAACTAATGGAGCAAAGTTCACAATCCAGTGAAGTCAATTCTATGGAAAAAAAAAAATCCTGCACAACATATCTACATTACAGAATTGACTTGCCAGATAAGCAGTTTGAGCGTAGATTATGTATTTAACTGCTTAGTTTATGCAGTTTATTTACAGTGATACAATTTGGCAATTTCAAAAAATAAGTAAAAATTATGGGAAATTAAGGTCACAATCTGTACATCAGAATTATAAGCCTGTCTAAATATATTCATCTAACAATACGCTTATTATCACAACGTAACATACCAAGGTGGTCCTGAAGTTAGGTTTCACTTTACACAACAGAAAGCCTTAGTCTGGGTTTCCTTCTGTGGTTTGACCTCTCTAGAGGATGTCTAGTTGTGACCTCTCTAGAGGATGTCTAGTTGTGCTGGTTTTGACTGGGAGAGAGTTAATTTTCTTCATAATAGTCGGTATAGGGCTAGTTTGGATTTGCTGGAAACAGTGTTGATAATGCAGAGGTGTTACTGCTGAGCAGTGCTTACACAGAGCCAAGGCCTCTTCTGCTTCTCACACCACCCCACCAGCGAGTGGGCTGGGGGTGCACGAGGAGTTGGGAGGGGACACAGCTGGGACAGCTGACCCCAACTGACCAAAGGGATATCCCATACCATATGACGTCATGCTCAGCATATAAGGGGCTGAGGGAAGAGGAAGGAAGGGGGATGTCCAGAGTGATGGCATTTGTCTTCCCAAGTCACCGTCATGCATGAAGTTGCACTTACATTTTAAAAGTTTGTTTCCCAAATTCACAAAGGGTCAAAGTAATTCTTTTCACAACTCTACTTAACATTTTTCAAACAGAAGTTATAAATCAAATATGCCCACTTGGTACCGTGGTGACTAATGTATACTCGATTCTTTGAAATGAAAACAGCTTTGAACAAAAAGAATGTAGGTGATTCTAAACCTCCAAAGTTAGAAGAAAACTACAGAATAAAGCTTTTAATTCCTTTAGAAAAATACTAACCTGTTTTCTGAACTAGATGTAGAAGTACTAGATGATGACAATGTATGAGAATTTGACATGCGTGAGACAAACTTCTGGATGGTGTTACGAGATGGAGCTTTGATCCTCGAGCTACGCCTACTGTGATATTTCTGGAACAAACTCTCAACCTAACATCAGAAAAAGATAGCAACAGTCGTATTTATGCTATGAATAGCTTGTAATTAAAAGTAACATTACTGAAGCTTAACTACTGCTAAAAAAAAATCATCTATTCACCTTCACAATAATGCGTT